TCAAAAATGAAAATTTAATGCCGCTGGATAATCACGATCTACCCGCGCGGGTTGTTGATTGCCATAGGTTATAATTGTTAATGCCATACCGTCAACGTTTCAACTTTGGGGGCACGTGAAATTCACTTAGCCACAACATGAAAAATGTTCCCTGGATTGGGTCAAGTAGATTGGATGTTGGGAGAGTGAAATTGATATGGACTCAATAACTTCCACGTGGTAAATTCATTTGGTCCCAAAATAGCCCCGCATTTCTTGTGGCTATCTCCTATTTATGAGAGCAAATTTGCCTCCAAATCACTTGCCACATGGTCGGAACTCGGAATAAATTCTTCCTTATTTTCATTATAAATTTAATATTAGTAATAGACTGATGGGTTTGCATTGACCAAATCAAGTTTCTAAATACTAATACAGGTTGATATGCCAAATGGAATGTATCAACTGTATCTTTAACCGCCTTTTATTTTATTTTTTTTAAACTGATTTAAAGAATCAGTTTAAGGTCCGCCTACCCCTTGAAACAGGGCAAACCCTGAAATTCTCATTATAGGGAACTGTACTGATTGACATTGATGAGGCTGAATGTAGATGGCATATCAAAATCAGAATCTGTCAATCAAAAATCAAAACCCAGCAAGATGGTATCAAAATATGGTAAATGGAACATGTGTTTGTAGAGTAAATTAGGAAGGAAGAAAGAAGAAAAATGCCAAAATAGCATTTGGTGATGTATCTCTTTCAAAAGCGTCTATTCTTAAAGTCTGGGTTGTCCAAGATTCAGTGGGCAACGAGACCGATTTTGGATTCTGGGGAGATCGTTAGCGGTGGATTCCAGCCGAGTCGAGCTGAATAGTATCAGATTTGAGCTCGGTTCGAGACTATTCTACAAGATTTGAGCCAAAACCTTGAGCTCTAGTCAAGAATTCATAAGCTCAAGCTTGGTTTGACTCGGCTCATTTTATATTTTATAAAAATAAAAATTATATATTTTATAAAAAAATTATATATAATTTTTTTTATTTTATATTTAAAAAATTAAGAATTATAATAATTAATAATATAATACTTTTATTATATATATTAAATATCAAATATATATATATTCGAGCCGGTTCGCGAGCCTCACGAGCCGAGCTCTAGTAGGCCCGAGCTCGGCTCGTTTAATAATCGAGCCATTGAATTAGGCTCAAGCTCAGTTGAAACCGAGCCAAGCCGAGATTTTCACGAGTCGAGCTCGAGCAGCTCGTGAAAAGCTCGGCTCATTGCCACCCCTAGAGATCGTATTAGTCATCTACTTGTTTAAAGTCAAAGTAATAGATACGTTTACACGGAATAATGTCGTTTGTGTTTAAAGTTAAATAATTCATTAAACTAATATATATAAATATCTATACTACTAATAAAAGTGCGAATAACCCCATTTTCTGGATTTTTTATTAGACATTTTTATCCCTTATCTAAACAACATACAACGGGCATAAAAAATGACATATATGTTCTTTACTCTCACTCCAAAAGCTGCCCATTTATAACAGTTAAGAAACTGTCCACTTATAACTGTTTAAAAACTGCACATGAATTGTAAATATTTTTATCTTGAAGATATTGTCACGCGCAAATGCACGTATATGTTTATGCTTCTATCAAAAGTAGATATGGCGGTTTTATCGTCTACAGTTATAATTGGCATTGTGTGCGAGTGACTGACCACTGTGGAGTTTCCACCTCTGCTTTCCTTTGCAATGGAGGCTGTCAACTTCCATCCTGATTCTTGTTAGCTCTATGTGATTCAATGAAGACAAGTCTTTGTTTGCTTAAAACTCAAAGGTGTTTGAAACCATGGTATAAAATTTTTATTTAGAGCTCAGTAGGGCCATATGGGCATTTTGATTTTATTATATTATATTGAAATCTTTCTTGTTGAGTTGGACTGTTTTTAACATAAATGTTTGTCCATGAGGTGTTTAAGGAATTGTCAAAATTGTGTTTCCTTCAATAAAAGGATGTTTCCACTTTGGTTGTTTTATATGTCATTTAGCGGCCTTTACGAATTTAAAACCATATTAAGGGTATTTACTATTTAGTAAGTCTTTTCGTATAGTCTTTCAGGTATTTTAGAGCTTAGAAGACCAAAATTTGGTCTTTTCCTGTTTGGCAATAAAAGATAAAAAGTCGCAAAAGTTAATGCTAAATATAAAATGGCCAAAATTTTGGATGTTTCATGCCTTTTTACACATAGAATATCTTTCATTTAACATCTGTGTAGATTATGATAGATTAGGATACTTACCAAATTGTCTAGATCTTTAAATAAGACCCCAAAAACTCATTATATCTTTTGATTATTTAGACTGTTGGAAGATATTCCTAAAAAGACTTGTCAAACGGCATATCTAAAATAACAATCGAACATTAAGGGAGTGTTCAAACAACTTTAATTGTAGCTTTTGTTCTCAAAAACAAAACTAGCGACATTGTGGAACACCCCCTTAACGTTTCCAATGATAAATTGAAGTATTAAATGTTGAGAATCGAAACACACATGGTAACATACACCATCCTAATTTGGACGGGGCTGATTGGTTGAGTTTGGTAGCACCCCTCCATCCATCACATGTTTTGTTGGTGAGAAATAAAGAAAACATTTTTTTTTTATTTCTTTCTTACTTATATAGAAATGAAAAAAGAATATAGAAAAACATGGATTTTCCATTCTTTTTCCTTGGTGAAGGCTTTTTGTTATTTGGTATTACATATTTCACAATATTAGAGTGATTAAGGGGTGGAGACAAAAGCAGGGTTCACGTGAGGTCCACTGACCTTACCACAGAATCCTGCAGTTATGCAAGTTTGGAATAACGCTCTATGACCTCAGCTACTGAATCATTGGCCTTTAATTTTGTCTTCTGATACATGCATGGTGAATATCACACTTCTACTTAACGCGTATATTATTTCTCCTTGTAAAGATTAAAAGCAGTCTCCCTTCTACTTAACATATATAGTCTTCTGCTATATTGTTTCATTTAACTCGGCCGGTATTTATTGGAAGGTAAATCAGTTAATCGCTAAATTGATCACAATACATACATTCATTTGTTATTATATTGCCTCTTACAGTAATTCAGAATATTTAAATATATCTTTACTTGGGCAATTGGTAAACACTCTCTTCCTCTTATCTCTCTCTTTACCTGGAATAAGGTTGCATTTGGTAATTTTTATTTTAAGGACTTATCTTCTTGTTACAGTTAAAAGTTCAGGGAGCATTTTAATAGAAAAGAAGGATACAAGTTGAAATGTCAAATGCAACCTAAGTAGCTTAATGTCAAAAACTTGAACGTATAAGCAACGATAAACCGAGAGCTGGGCCGTCTTTGCATTGGTCTTGCAATCCAATTATATATATATATATATTCTCAGTTTGGAAAAGAGTATAAATAGACCCCGTTGAATTACCTATCACAGTTGAAGACGCTAGAGTTTAGTATAATTGGATATCGGGCCCGTACAGCGGGGTTTGTATAATTTTGTCTCCACTTCATCCAGACTGCCCTTTAACATTTGACATATTCTCAATTAGTCCTGTTCATGGACCGGGTAGCCCGACGGCCCGGCCCATCCCAGCCCGCACTCCGGTCAGGTTTCGTCATGTAATTAGGCCCGTGGATTTGACTTCAGGTCTAACATAGTAAGTCCGACTGTGTTTCGGGCCGGACTCAAGATTTGTCAAAAAAGCCCGGCTCGATTCGGTTCAGTATTATATATTCTATAAAATATATAATATGTATTTTATATATTATATAAAATATATATTTATAATTTAATATATATATATATATATATATATTTTATTCTTTTTTATAATCTCTCTCTATTCAGCCGCTTCAACAGTAGTAACAATATGGGCTAAATTTCGGGTTCAAGCACAGGCCCGAGTTTTGGGCCGGGCTCAGGCCCAAATTGTAGGTCCGATGATCGGGTCGAACTCAAACTCAGGCCTTAAAAAAAAATCTATTAATACAGATTGAAAGACCGGCCCGGCACGGCCCAACTTCTAAGTTCTAATTAATCCTGCAATCAAATCGGGCGCTTCAGATCGTTCTCTGCTTGACATCGTAAGTTGTTTGTGTCAAATCCGTCGGACTTTCCATTACCACCAAAAGAATACAAAGAAGCGTCTGACTTTTCTGTACATCAGTACATGTGTAAATGTAATACACGGGGCTCGGATCCATCAACGCGCCCAACGTGATTGCAAATTTGCAATCTCACCCATATTTTTCCATTTCCTAGCGAAAAAACAAAACAAGTCTAAGTAAAAATACGGTGCGAAAACGGAAAACGACAAGCGCGTGCATGACACGTGGGTTGGGTCCTTTTGCGCTACGCGGCGACTTACGATTCGCTGCTATTGCTGACGTGCACCTTCTTGGACCACCGTACATATAGGAGACTTGTCGCCTGTCGGCCGGTGGTTAGCTTCAAGCTACGACTCCTCGTCAACCACGTGTCCTCCTGGACCCCCTCAGAAAATGTAGATAATTCCTCAAATAAATATTGGCTTTAGATTCCTTTTATTTTTCCTTCTTGATTGAGAATTGATAAGGCTCCTTCGGTCCTTCCCAATGAATATATAAACTTTTAATAAATATAATCATTGAAAAGAAAGGAAGAGGAAAATAAAAAAGGAAGCAAAAATTTCTGCCGGGTTTACTCGAGCCAACAGGTCTGCCTGCTGCAAAGCAGACAACGAAAGAGACGGCAACTAACGGCAACGTCAACTATTTAACCGCTTTCCTAGGCGCCGTCAGTAATTCGGCACAATTGTAACTGCATTCACAGTAAAGGCCGCCGCCGTTATCAGACGGAAGCGAGTCCCATTTTCACGTCGTCGAGTGTGTGGTACGAAGAAACAACCGAGATCTCCGGTTGAAACCTAACTTAACCACGGTTAAGTTAACGTTAAGCAGAGAGCGAGACATATATTACGAGGCATATAATGGTAGAATGCGCGGATGGCGGTTTTCGGGATTCGGTAACGGCGTTCTCTGGTTATCTCGCGGGAGTTTTTGGAGGAGCAGGCAGGAGGAGGAGGGGACGAAAAGGGGGAGATATCATACAAGCTCGCTTAAAGAGGTCCATTGAAGCAGCCAAAAGCGGTTTTCTGGTTCTTTTAAATCGAAGGTGGTTTCAGAAAGCGGTATTTTTTTTTGGGGCCGGAACAACGCATGCGGATAAGCGGTTTTATCACCACAGAGGAGCAGATTCATTGGTCTGGATCCCGATCGTTACTCTTGACTGGGGGAATTTCACCACCAAGAGTCTGTCATTCTTTGGTGTAAAATTTTCTTGCTCGATCCTTTGTATATAGATGGGGTAGATTGCCGTACGACTAAACGGTGTTTTAGCTCTGATTGATTGGTTGAGGTAGTGGTTTTACGAGTATCAGCAGCTGATTTAATGGCGTGCGGAGAAAGCTTCAGAAGCGCGACGATTTCGCAATCGAATTTCTCGGCTGAACGTCCGGAGACTGGTGAAGTGACTATTTTCTATGTTCTGTGGTGAATTTCGGTAGCTTTCCGGTGAAATGGTGTTGTTTGTTGACAATAGTTAGGGTTTATTGTTTTCTTAATGTACTTGATAGGCTTGGGAGGAGGCGATCTCTATGCGGAACTATGGAGAGCCTGTGCAGGACCTCTCGTCGATGTTCCTCGGACGGACGAGAGGGTTTTCTACTTTCCTCAAGGTCACATGGAGCAAGTAAGTTTTTCTTTCTTTTCCTTAAACTCAGGTCTTATTGTCCTACTTTCTTCCGTCGTTAAAGTGAATACCTGTTTTTCTTCCATGTATTTTTCTTATTATCTGAATATATATTATGTTCCTCCTCATTCTTTCTGGTTTTTCATTGTTTCTATTTTGCTGTTACAGTTGGAAGCGTCGACAAACCAGGAATTGAATAATCAGACTAATTTGTTTAATCTTCCTTCCAAGATCCTTTGCCGCGTCGTTCACATCCAGTTACTGGTATTCGGCGAACCGATCTCAGCTTGTTTTTTCTTTACTTGTTTCTTCTCGCTCTTCTTATTTTCGACTTCTTCGATTTTTAGGCGGAACAAGAAACAGATGAAGTTTATGCTCAAATAACCCTACTTCCGGAATCAGATGTAAGAGTTTCATGCGACTATGTTCTTTTATTTTCGGTTTTTTTACTTTCAGCATTTCGAGATGGTGGAATACACCTGCGTCTGCATATTCATTTTCCTATTCTGAGTTTTTGATGACATATTTGTAGCAAAATGAGCCTACCAGCCCTGATCCATGCCCCGCTGAGTCTCGAAGGCCAATCGTTCATTCTTTCTGCAAGATCTTGACTGCATCTGATACAAGCACACATGGCGGGTTCTCTGTTCTGCGTAAGCATGCCAATGAATGCCTCCCTCCATTGGTACTTTTCTTTCTATTTTAGCTTTTTGAATTTTTTTAAGTTACCCCCTGTTTTTCAAGGTATTTCTGCATTATTTGATTTATTATTTGTGTGCTATGTTTTTCCCTTCACCCAAGGACATGAGTCAACCGACTCCAACTCAAGAATTGGCCGCTAAGGATCTTCATGGCTACGAGTGGCGATTTAAGCATATTTTTAGAGGTACGGGGCTTTCTTAGTAGTGTTTTGGTGTTGCATCTGTGTTTCTGTTCGATCCTTAAAGGCAAAAATTTATTTCTGAAAACGTTAAGGGCAAACCGAAGAACACTGACCTAAATTGTAACAGAAGTCATGGGCTTTTATTTAATTCATTGAGCATATTCCTACTATGGCTCAACAGTTTCCTTCATCTGAACCTGCCAGGTCAACCACGAAGGCATTTGCTTACAACTGGATGGAGTACTTTTGTTACTTCTAAGAGATTGGTCGCAGGGGATGCTTTTGTATTCTTGAGGTATTGGCCAGTAGATCATTATTTTCTTTCTGTTCTTTTCTTTATCTACTCTGGTTTCTGTCTAGTGATATTCTCCAATAGAGCTATACATTTGAGCGGTGAGGACTGATTGTGTAGAGGGGAGAATGGGGAGTTACGGGTTGGAGTCAGGCGTCTTGCTCGCCAGCAGAGCACCATGCCGTCCTCTGTGATATCCAGCCAGAGCATGCATCTAGGAGTGCTTGCCACTGCTTCCCATGCAGTGGCTACCCAGACCCTTTTTATTGTTTACTACAAGCCAAGGTTTGAAATACTTCATTAGAAGTTGATGTTTATGATTTGTAAATCCTATGGTTACTTTATTTAGTATAACTTTATTGTCATTCTTCCAGGACGAGTCAATTCATCATAAGCCTGAATAAATATTTAGATGCTGTTAATAACGGGTTTTCAGTTGGTATGAGGTTCAAGATGAGATTTGAAGGGGAAGACTCTCCTGAGAGAAGGTAAGTGATGATATATAAATGGAGAGTTGCTTTGGTATTCTTTACTGAAAGGACAGATTGGGTCCCCTTCTATTTTTCCTTGACAAGTTTAATAGCAATTTTCTATGCATTTTGGCTGATCAGGTTTACAGGCACAATTGTTGGGGTTGGAGACATATCATCCCATTGGAAGGATTCCAAGTGGAGATCATTGGAGGTTGAATTATCTTATATATCTTTTATATATATACATATATATATATATATATGTATTGTATTGTATTGTATTGTATTGTTTTTCAACACTTGAATCTCAAAATATCTGTTTCTTTCTAGGTGCAATGGGATGAACCAGCATCTATTCATCGACCAGAGAGGGTTTCTCCATGGGAAATTGAGCCCTTTGTTGCTTCTGTTCCACCAAGTCTGACTCAGCCAATGGCAGTAAAGAACAAAAAGCCCCGAACAACGATGGATCCCCCAGTGCTTGGTACAGAATTCTCCCTTTTTTCCTCCGTTCAATAGTCGAAGGATTGGATATATTTCAAGTTTTTAACTCATTTCAATTGTATTCTAGAAACTACTGCAAGTTCTGCTTCCTCGGCATTCTGGTATCCTGGTTCTACTCAGCCCCATGACTTCACACAATTAAGTGCCGAAGGGCAAAGCAGTGACACCCAAGTTGTCTGGCCCCCTAAGCAGAAAGAAAAGAGTAGTATCGTTAACAGCAACAGCAACTGTAGCTCGAGGAACAGGCCGGAGGGGACCTGGTCTTCTTCTCCCCTTGTTAATGTTTCTCTAAATCTGTTTCAGGACAGAACTGAAGATGGGAAAAGTGTGCCTGCATGGTCAGTCCTCTCAAGGATTTCCACTACCGACTCCTCAAAGCTGAGCAATAGCACACTGCATGATCCAATGGAAAATGGAAAAAAATCTGAGCCATCTAGTGGATGCCGGTTGTTTGGGATTGAACTAATAAATAATTCAAATGTTGTAGCTCCTGCAGATAAGACACTCCCAGGGCCGGTTGGTGTAGCCAATGCCACAACTGAAATGCTCCATTCAGTTACTGTGTCTGAAGCAGATTCTGACCAGAAATCTGAGCTTTCAAAAGCTTCCAAAGAACAGAAACAAAATTCTTTGCAGGTATCACCGAAGGAGATCCAGAGCAAGCAGAGTTGCTGTACTTCATCCAGAAGTCGCATAAAGGTAATACTGGAAAATGATTAGGTGAGGTTGAATTGAACAGCATGGTGCTTTTTATAGCGGGAAGTCCCTGATAGAAATCAATAAACTTGTGGTTGGTGAAGGTGCACATGCAAGGGCATGCGGTTGGTCGGGCTGTAGACTTGAGCATGTTAGAAGGTTATGACCAGCTTATAAACGAGTTGGAGGAGATGTTCGAGATTAAAGGAGAGCTTCGCCCAAGGAACAAATGGGAAGTTGTATACACTGACAATGAAGGGGATATGATGCTCGTGGGTGACGATCCATGGTTGTAAGTATTCTTCGTGCTCAACGGAAATTTTTTATGTTTTATCTTTTTCTTTTACTTCTAGCATATTTATTCATATTAATATCTTTTGCAGGGAGTTTATCAAGATGGCAAGGAAAATCTCCATCTACTCGAGCCAGGAAGTGAAGAAGATGAGTACGAGAAGCAAGATTCCTGCATCATCTCATTCTGATGGAGTCGTAAGCTTGGATGCAGAGCTGAAAACTGAGATATGAAGAGTTTGTTTTGTTCCTGTCAAGTCGATTCACTTCTTTCATCCTGACCGTGAATGGATGCCAAATTCACGGGCAGGATGTGGTTTATAGGGGGAGAGGGCTAGTAGTGGGGGGGGGAGCTGGAATTCAGAATTCTGCATCGTGTGTATTACTTTCTCCGTTTTTTTTTTTTTTTTTCTTGTGTGTCAATGATTTCTTTTGGACGTGTCTAACTTGGGAGGCGAGGAGAGAATATACTGTTACTAATTGGGAGCTCGGTTTTTTAGAGCTTATTACAATTTACAAACAACAAAAGGGGGGTGATGGGAATGGTAATTAAATTAGACGAGGATGGCATCTCTGTAGAGGGGGTTGGGTAGGTTTCGGTTGTTAAATCACTGAAAAGTAGGACGTGAAGGTGGTGGGATGTGAAGCTGTGAATACACCATGGTTTTGGCCTGTTAGGGCCATTTTTTATCTGCTTGTAATTTGTAAATATATGTATTTTTTGGTCCTTTCTCTAGTGAGCTGGAAATTGGGTTGCTCAATTATTTCCTCGTCTTATTGGTTGGTGGGTTGCGTAATTGTTTGTTCCCTTCAGAGGACAGTGGTCTGGTTATTGGTTCCTTCGTCCTTTGCCCGTGGAGCCCACAAAAATCGTCCATCTTGAAAACTCTGGATCGATTAATCATTTGTGGTGTCGTTCTGCAGTTGGCTGGTGAAATGCGTCGTTGGGCTTGGTGGCATCGCGATAGCTAGCGGCCCCCCCTTTTTATTGATGTGAAATTGAAAACTAGGCAAAACCTTTCCACTGTTTGATTGTTAAAAGAATATAGATTTTAAGTTGATTTGCTTTAGATAAATTCATTAAATTGCGTTGACAAGTCCTTTCCCTTGGATATTAGCGGCGGAGCTCTCACTATAACACAATGTGATTGCTGGTAGGAATGGGATGGCCGCCACTATCATTATCATAATATATTGATTGATGGAGAGCATCTTCTGATTGACGTGATAATTTAAAAGGGAGCACTATGCATCTCATATTCTCATTTTATCTTTTCCATCTTTTTATTTAATAATTCAACTATGTAAGGTTTTATCTTTTCTCTTGTCGTCAAATGTTGGATTCATGTTTCTCTATTTGTCACTATTCATGGTCTCTCTCTCCTCTCTCAGTCTGACCATTCCCGTTTGGGCTTTTCCTATTTGGCACTACTGGTTTCACTCCACGGTGCCACGTGAGACAGGCCCCATTGTTTGAGACGAGATTGGTTTTTTATCCTTGCATCGGGAATATCTCCGTACTTTTATGCTTTATTTCATGAGGAGATATTCCCAATGCAAGGCTATGATGGCTGTTCGAATGGATTTTGTTCTGACTGAATCCTGCTTCTCACACAGAGCGCCTCATAGGCACATTCCACCGTACATTGGGAACATTTTCTGTACTTGCTTGTTATTACTTACGGGAGATGTGTGAGACAGGCTCCATTGTTTGAGGCACCTCATATGCTCCTCACACCTGTGAGGCACCTCATATGCACATCCTATCATGCATTGGGAACATTTCCTGTACTTATTGATTATTATTCATGGGAGATGCAATGCATGGTGGATGTGCCTGAGGCACCCATTTGTGAGGAGAAGATCTGACAAAAGGCGTTTTACAACGACCTCACAGGCACAATCCATCGTGCATTGGAAACATCTTCCGTGCTTATTATGTGTTATTATTTAAGGGAGACATTCTCAATGCATGGTGGAATGTGTTTGTGAGGCTCCTTGTGTGAGGAGCAGGTCCCAATTCCCATTGAGATTGATAGAACGGGATCCACTCCTGACACATGGGCACTTCACAGGCACATCCACCATGCATTGGGAACATCTCCCATGAATAATAACTTATAAGTATGAGAGATGTTCCCAATGCATGGTAGGATTAAGTGAAGTGATTATCTTAAAAGAAATACATGATAATATGTAGTGGGGGCTATACAAATATCGTGTACCTAAATAAATCAATGTATGTTATATATTACATATAACATATATTTATATATGATATGTACTATAAAGTTGGGTTTGTGTTGGGTTGGAATGTCTAAGGGGTCAACCCTAGTCCAATCCAAAGTAAAGTGGAATTCATGAATTTCAACCTTAACCCTAATCCGAGCATCAACTCGACCCAACCCAACATAACATTTTCAGGTTGAGTTCGGGCCAATCCGGCTCAAGTTGCAGTCTTATACAGTTGTACATTGTGATGATAATTAAGAAGTAAGAGATATTCCCAATATGCAGTTCCAAGAGTTGTGAGGTTGGTGTAAGGCACACTTTGTGAGAAGTAAATTCAGATTCCCATTGGTTGGCTGTAGTTTTTTTCCGGATAGGTATCTGTTATCATAAAAGAGTAATTGGTTAAGGGATGGCCTGGTTCTTTTTTTTTAGAACTTGTTTTAAAGGTGATCGAAGGAAATAAATCATATCATGGTTAACAAAAGTTTTAGAAGTAGAAATCATGGTTAACAAAAGAAATTCTTTTTTATTTCGGGTAGGCATAAAAAGTAAAAAGAGGGGTGGTGAAATCCATGGATATTGAAGATGAAATGGTATAGTCTGAGTGCATCATATTTCATATTTCCATTATAAATAATACTAAAAGCTGCCTTGTATTCTTGGTGTGCATAAGAGAGTTAAGGCAAGGCAGACAACTGATTTCTTTTCAGCCTAATTAATTAATTAGGCACCTCCACCGGGTGTATTGTCAGTTGGGCGCATATTAATATAGGGTTTGTAGCAGATAAGGGTCAAGGGCTCTTTCAGAGGTGAAAAGTGAGTGAGAAGCTGCCGGTGCCAAGGGAGAACGAGAACCGTTGCTGAGAGTTGAGACTGAGAGAGTGAGAGCTTTCAAATCACTTGAGAAACAGAAACACAAAAGTTGGAAGTTGGAACACGAACACCCTTGCTTGCTTGACCAATGTATTTCGCTTTGCCCAAAAATATCCATCCTGTCACTGTCAATTGGTTCGGGGGGTAGCTTTCCCCTGGCCCTGATAGAGAAATGGTTGTTATTAATTAGAGGTGAAGTCCTCCCCAATTCCCATATATGGAGGTGGGATGAATCTCATCCATCCACCAGACAAAGGGGACCCTTGGATTGACCACATGATTAATGCTTCAATCCTTGTTTCAACAACCCGCAGTGCCAGTTGCCACAATTAGCGACTGTGAGAGGGTGTCTCGTTTTTCACATACCCAACCCATGATGTATGTTATTTGTTATGAGATCGATGTAGAGAACCAGAGTTTTCCTAAATTTGCCTCCATCAAGCATCAATAAAGGGTACAAGACGATTGTGTCGTACCCTCTAATTTTCTAAATGATAAGGAATTTTATTGTCATTTTTAAATTAAATAATAATAATAATAAGACAGATGGAGACGCTCCTGTTATCACTTTGTACAAATAAAGCCCTTTAAATCTTTAACTCAGTAGTCAGTAGTAGTACAACAAGGTGGGGATGAGGGAGGCTAACCGTGCAGTTGTGAAAATGGCGAATGCAGACACCCCTTGACCCTTGTCTAAATGGACACTGCGTGGATAGTGGATTAGCTACTGGATTTCTCCACACAAAAATAAATATATTTGGGTCGTACGTCTAATAAGTAATAACCACAAATTGTAAAAGAAGAAACTTCTTTGCTATTGCCACATTGGACCATCTCCACTCTTCGATCACATTGATGACTGGTGAAGCAAGAAAGAGTAAAGACACTTGACCCCCCACGCCCACCCATTTGGCCTGTATGCCGGATACTATTCTCAACTCCTCACACCTTTAACCTGTCCCACTGATGCCATGTTGGCCTCACCAGCACCGGGCATGCCTCAACAATGCCACGCTGTAAATCTTTGAAGCCAACCGGAATTTTAAAAGTAGCCATCACCAGGCTGGCAAACCTATCTATCCTACCTACAGCTGGATTCAATTTTTGCATTAAAAGCCTGTAGGATATCTCCCAAACCAAATGGACACCATTGAATTGAATGATCAAAACCATCACACTTTTACTAAAACACCCATCATACTTTCATTCATTTACTGAAGCCTACACAATAGTACAATACAATATTTTGCATTTTACTTACTAAAACACCGCCTATAGTTTTATAGTTTGCAAGAAACTGTTTGTATTGACACCTAGGAATGGTTATGGTCATGTATCCATCTAGACCAAGTGAATAATGTTTAAAATATGGGCTCATGTATATTTTTTTTTAAAGTACCCTTAACATTTCATGTCAAGCTTTGCTTTTTTAGAAAGAAATAATGTCTAAGTTTTAAATATGCAAGACCAAAATTTCCAATTTTATTTTCTTTTGATTAAATTCCTTCAAACAGAAACCATCATTTTTTACTTTCGTCCAATGCAAGGTGGGCTGTGAATGGATTAAGTCTACCCGATGGACCCAACCTATCGAACCGATTGAAATGGTTTTGGTTCCATAATTTTTTAATTTTGTACAGATTAATAATTGGATTGGTTCTGTTTCTTACCTGTTTTAAACCGGTTCAGACCTAGAATCAATTATTTTATATTTAAATTTATTATAATTTTTATCATATTTTATGTTTGAAATGATAAATTTGATAGATAATAAATAAGATAGTATCAGTTACAAATATTTATTTTATTAACATAAAAATAACTTAGTATTTTTTTATCACTTTTATTAAGGTTATATTGTCAAATTTTAAATTTTAAGTTACCATTTAAATAAATAAATGTGGCTTTTCATATAATCGGGTCTATCAGGTCTGGACCCAATAAACCCAACTATTAATCGGGACGGTTTTGGGTCTATGATTTTGTTCCGATTAATAATTAGTTCACAACTGATTCTACCTAGACCCAACCTATTGACAATCCTAAATGGAAGGTCGAATAAGTAAATCAATCACAAATTATAGGGGGGTTTTTAATAAAATAGGTTTTAATAAATCCGTAAAATACAAAAGGTATTTTAATAAATAACCCTTTTATGGGGCCATGAACAATTATCTTACACATACCAACACGGCATAATGCTTCCCACATTAGACTTTCCTTAGTTACCCCTTGTCTATCTAAAGCATTTGCCAAATTATCAATAAATGGTCTAGCACACCACCTAAATGAGCAATTCAGGTTAATTAATTGTACTTTGGATTCAGCCTCGCAGGTCCTATACTTTGGAAGAAGAGTATCACATAAATATAATATCAACCTCTCATCTTGCAAGACCTTGCACAGCATTCAGCCTCGCAGGTCCCTTTGGTATCCTAGGCCAGCCTTGCCCTACTAACCTCGTTTCCTTCTTTGGGCCTCATTGATGGGTAATTTGTGGTCTTGCGTCTCTTGGTTTTCCAAGGACCTAGTGACTCTACAACAGAGTGATTAATTGCTTTCTCTCGCATTTGGGTATCTTCAATGACTAAAGCATTGGAATATGAACCATCACTCTTGCCTGTTTATTTATGTGTTCTTTTTTTCATTTATGGTCTGCTTGGTTGCCCAGA